TATATTACATGCATTTTCCCCTCAGGCACAGAAGCCAAGTCACAAAGACATGGAGTAAGTTGCTCAAGGTATTAACAGGAGACTAGAGGAATTTGTCCCCACAATGTAGAAATCCTGATTCAAAACACTTAGCTGTGTCCTATGTCACACTTAACCACAAAATAGGCAGTTGTGTCTCCTTCAAATTAGGTAGCACAGCTCCAGGTTCAAGAAATATTGATTTAGGACCTTTTAATTAAAAAATAATAAAGAAAATTAAGGAATTGTCAGTATAAACTGTAAACTTCAGTCAACAACTGTGTCAGAAAGCATGAAAAGTAAGGCTTTACTCTAACTGCCCAATATTTAAAATAATTCAGAAAATGAGTTTTAGATATAAGATGCAATTTTGTTCCATATGGTCAAATGTAACATAGAACATTCCTAAAATGATATAACCTGAAGAAAAGTTTATAATATAATTAGATTCTGCCCTGAAAACACACTCAGATCATTGTAAAAGATAACAGTGGAATATGCTTGACAATTTCTGTAGAATAGCTGTAGGCTTGAACATGTATAAGCTAATTTTAATGTAAACATTAACATCCTTATAAAGCAGTATCTCTCAAAAGGGTGAAATCAAACAGCGCCAACATGGTTGCAGGTAACATCTTTTTTGATCATTTGCTTCATTTATGTTTTGAGCACTTGCAAATTACAAAAAGATATCCAACAGCAGCAGAACGCTGTAAAATAAAGCAAAAACTTGTTGCTATTTTTAATATGTTAAATTTTAATAACTGGCCTGAAATAATCTAAACATAGCACCACTCTAAAGCATTGTAATGTTGAAGGCACTCTAATTCAATTTATTGTCTAAGATGTGCACCTTGCATAGTCATTAATCTAAGGTAGCTCTAATCACAAGGCTTCAGAGAATGTTTAGAGCATAATTCCTTGCATCCCTGGTAATTTTTTAAATGGGAGTAGTCTACCTTCCAGCCTTGGTCAAGAGGGGAACGAGGGAAAGAGACAGGGAAAAAGGGACTTCTCTGTGGAAAGATCTGGCCTTGGAGTCAGGGTTTCTGAGATGTGCTAGTGATCTTGGATCGATGCCTTTTTATTTTCTTTCAGGAATAAATCTGCGCAATGGAATGGCTTGCAATTGTCCGGCCAACCAGCCATATCAGATTTATCAGAAAGAAAGAATGAAAACTGGCTCAGAGGACTCCTGCAGTGGCTGAGTGGCAGATTGCTGGGAAAGGCACACACCAAAAAGAATACACTTAGTAGTGGAGGGGGAAAAAAAAAATATATATATATATATTCACATGTGTAAACTCAAAATGTAAAGGAAGACTCTATAGTAATGGAAAGGATGAATGCCTAAGACAGATGATAAATAGTACTTCTATTTAAGAAATGCATGAAAGCTCATGAATGCTAAATATTTGAATCTACTTTAAGAAGGAAATATGATTTTTCCCTCAAGTGAATGCAAACTCTAAAAATCAGCCAATGCAAACTTACTGTGTTCAGGTTAGTGTAAAAAAATACATAAATCTTCCATGAAGTGCATGCCCTGGTAAATATTCTAATGTAATTTCTTAATTAAGGCACATTTCCAGTGACTAAATGAAAAAATATATAAAGGATTAAGTACTGATTTTCAAAAAACTTTGACTTTATATGCGTGAATGATTAAAATAAAAACAGTTTAGTTTAAGAGGGAAAAATCAGAAGATGAGGAATTTTGACACAACCAACCATTCAATTTTATCGTAACAGTCCATACTATAGTATTTTCAAGTTATTTACAGTTATAACGAGTATAAACTTGTTTAGAAGCATTCTGAAGAAAAAAATGCCTTCCCCTAAAAAGATCCTTTTGACATATATAAGAATTTCAAAAAAAAAAAAAAAAGGTGTATCCTGTGGGTGTGCTTACAGTAAACACATGTAGGAAAGATTTTTTTTAACGTATTGAACATCTTTTTATCATCTACCTAAGTTTTATTAACTTTCTCCTTCTCAAATGTACAAAACAAAACCCCAACCCTAAGTTTGAAGATACATCTTAATATGTAGGAAAAAACGTATGTTATTCTATAGCATGAAAAGCAGAATTAAGTTACTTGCAAATAAGAAATGGAAACTGAACTTATCCCATATCTATTGAGGTATGTAAGAGCATCACTTCAATATTATATATTGTAATTAAATACAAAGGTGACACTATTTTTAAATCATGCCAGGAAAACAGAAATTTTGAAATTATCCCTTTTGGTAGAAAAGGCTTTATAACAGTCATAAAGGGTCTTTGGCTATATACTATATATATATATATATATATATATATATATATATATAGTATTTCTGGATAAAATGAATTACTGGAAATGAGACAAAGTCCTGAAGACGTATTTAAAAATTGTTTTCTCTAAAGCTGATTTTTTTCCCAAGAAAAGAAAAAAAATAAAAACAGGTCCTTCCCCATTATAATTATTTTAATAAATATCTTAGATCTATACAACAGAATCCTCCCTCCACCCATATCTTTATTCTGTTCACATAGAGCAGTAAATAAGGTGCATTCCTTCTGCTTCTTAAGAAATTAGCATTTCAAAAATATGCCACTTTCCCCTGAACTCCAAGCGTGTCTAATAATGCGAGAAGCAGATTGTCTTCCCTCGTTTCCTTAATTTGTTTCATCTAAAAGCAATTCACTCAACATCTTGTCGCCCTCTGGCAGCTTAGTTTACTTATCCGCACTTAATTTCTCATTTGGACCAAAACAAACTCCTCCAAACTGCTACCGACTGCTAACCGCGAGAGGGGAGACACGCAGTATGTATTTACTTGGGAACATACAGCCCCACAGACAGACACACACCGCCTCACTCACACTCCACACAGTAACTTGGTTTCGTAAAAGCACTATATTAAAACCAGCTGAACTTTCCCTGCCAGGTGCGGCAGGGGTTGGCGGGGGGGGGGGGGGTGTGAGGATGGCGAATAGGGTGAAAAAAGAAGTCCCCAGGGGCATTTACGGTTCCCAGTGGATCACCTTAGCATGCGTGTTGCAACTGTACCAGGGATGCACCGAGAGCTTTTCTTTGCGCGGCCCTTTCATCTAGATCACTTTGTGTTTCGAACAAGTGAGGCTCGCCCTCGTGCCCCTAGAATTTCAAGTACAGAGTCACACGCAGAACGACAATGGCACGCTAATCCTCGCGCTCGACATGGGCTCACTTGTGGGTCTGACAACTCGCGGGGGGGGGGGGGCGAGAAGGGACCAGCGAGGGCGCGAGGCGGTGTCGCCTGAGACGAGGAAGGGGACAGCTGCAGAACTAATTTGGATTACATTCTTTGCAGAAATTCTGAAAAGGGCTTTTCGGCATAGCTCACCCCTGAGCCACACAGTTAATACCGAGTTGCTGCGGACTCGGAGCGGGTCCCCCAGAGGCTGAGGCTGCACCAGACAGCCCCCAGTCGGCTGCCTCGGAGAAATTCCTCTCGCCTAAGTCTGCATGTCGGTCGCACACGCTTTTGAATGGGTCAATGTGCATAATCAACCCATTGAGGGAAAATATGAAGGGACTCGGCGTGCGGAGGGAGGAGATAAAAGGGATGTATCTAAGAGGGCGCCTGGAATCTGCGGTCGGGGCTGGTGCGGTTCCGGAGGCGGCTGGAGCGCGCGACCTGGTCTGCATGAAGAATTCCCGAGTGTCGGGAGGGTGCAAACGGCGAGCACCAACGGCGCACACCGGGGCCACTCGAAGGTCATTCTGAAAGGCTCGGTGCCTGCGACTTGTTATTTACTGGGCTAGGAGGGGTAGGCGGCGGGGGCGGGGGCGGAGCGGGGCAGGCGGAGCGGGGCAGGCAGCGCGCGGCTCCGGAGGACGCCCTCCGGGGGCCCAACGCGGCCCGAGCACCGCTCCCGGGCGCTCCCGGGGGGCTTCACCCGCCCCAGCTGCCTCCCGCGCTCCCGCCACCAGCCCGGGGCGGCTCCGGAAATCTCCCCCGCTCTCCAAAAGGCCCCCTTCGGCGGCATCGGACCCACCGGCCCTCCGTCCTTTCCCGTCCCGCTTTCATCCCCAGGAAACTCAAGCGTCAAAAACTTTGAGCAGCCTCGCCCTGCAGGTGCCGTCCTTGGCCCTGCCCGCCGCGGACGCCAGCCCACCCCCGGGCCTCGGGGTCGGCCGGCCTGGGCCGGTCCAGGTGCCCGGGCTCGCGCTTTCTCGCCGGCGGTCGCGGTTTCTCGCCGGTGGCTCCCGCCTCGGGGTGGGCCGGTTCGCGCCCCGGGTCGGCTCGGCAGCCGCGCCGGGCAGTAAACAGAGAAGTTGGAGGGACTCGGGCCAACAGCAAGTTGAACTACAGGAAGAACTCTTCCCGGAGCCAAGCCGGGCAACCGACGGCAGGGCCGGGCTCCCGCTCCAGGCTGTCAAACCCCTTCCCTGCCCCCACCCCCTTTTCTTGAAAGAGAGCCCGCAGGCTAGCGAGCTCCGTCCGTCAAGTCAGCGGGGCGCAGGCTGGCGGGCGCCCCAGCGGGGAGGGCCCCGCGGCCGCACAGGTGCACCGCCCGGCGGCTCGGGGAGGCCGCGCTCACGCCCGCCCGCGCGGCAGCCCCTGCGAAGCCCCGCGCCCGGGCCAGGCGTTCGCTCCCGGGGCGCCCGGACGGCGGGAGGACCGTCCCACTCGGGAGCCGCGTGTCCCGCGGCCCGCACGCAGGCAGGACCCGCAGAGATCCCGCTTTTAGGCTGCCCCGAAAACGCGGGAGAAAAAAGAAAGAAGAAAAAGAAAAGAAAGATCGGGGAGAAAGAAAGGGGGGAAAAAGGGAGGGGGGACAGGGTCGCAGAGTGACATTTCACGGTAAATAAAACACAGGCTCACAAAAAAGGCTAAGTTTGGGGACGGACAGTCGGAGGGAGGAAGGGAAGCCCGAGGAGGAGGCCAGAGGGTCCCGGGGGGCGCGGAGACCCGGGCGGCCCCGCCAGCGGCAGCGGCCGGACACCCACCTGACTGGGAGGCGTTGGGCTGGACGGTCCCCGCTGCCAGCAGAAGGCTCACCCAGACCCACGGTCCTGCCGCCAGCTTCATTTTCTGGAAGTCTCAGATCCCGAGCTGACAATTACATGTCCAAATGGCATCTCCCCTGTCGGGCACGCGGAGGAGGGCCCCGAGTCCGGCGCGCCTGGGGGCGCGGTGCACCGGCTCCCAGCTGAGCCGCCGAGTGCGAGTGCGAGTCCGAGTCCGCGGGGCCGGGGTGCCGGGGCGGGGGCCGGGGGGCCGGGGCCCGAGGAGGGGCGTGCGCGCCGGTGCTGGCGGGGGCAGTGCGCCCGAGGGTGTGCGCGTGCCGCTCGGGGCCGGACCGGGCAGCGATTCCCCGGTGCGAGCCTCCGCTCCCTCGCTGCCTCCTCACTTTCTCTCACTGGTTGGTCAACAATAAAAAGGAAGGGGGGGGAGGCTTTCCAAAAAAAGTTGATTGCAAAGAGGCGGTGGGTTTCCGGCCTCTCCCCGCAGCCGCGCTCCGTTCGGCTCCCTTTCCAGTTTCCTTGCACCTCCAGTCCAAACTGGGAGGGGATGGGAGGGCGGGGGGGAGCGAGGGGAGGGCGCTTCTCGCTTCTCCCCCGATCCTGTCCTTTTTCCTGTCAGCTTTCCTCACACTTGTCCGGCGGCTGCGGTAATTAAAGCTCCGAGCGTCATTTCCAACGCTCCGCGGTCTCCAGCTGCAGCCCCACAGAGAAATTAATAAGACTCCGGGGGGGGGGGGAGGGGGGGGCGGATAAAACAACCCTCCACGCAACCGGGCTGGCTCCGCTCAGCCGCGAGCCCCGCCCCCGCTCTGACCCAGCTGGCCCCGCCCTTTTCCCCGCCCCCCACCCCCCAGAGGGGAATCTTATTGGCTCGTACTCTCCCCAAAATCCTCAGTCTCAGGAGTTGGGAAAACACCTGTCTGGGAGCCGGCGCGTGCTGCGGGGGGCGGGGGGAGCTGGATTTAAAGGGCTCGCCCGACCCAGCCGACCGGCACCGAGGCCCTAGACAGCTGGCTTGCGAGCGCGGAGACCACCGCAGGGTTGCTTACAGATGTGTTTTTTTTTTTCTTTTTTTTCTTAAACCAGAAAGTCACCATTTTCTCTACTGCCCCACACACAGTGCTCATCCACAGACTGGAGCTGGAAATAGAAGAAAAGAAAACGTTGCTTCGGGCATAAAGCCTTCACCCTTCTCTAACCTCTAATGCTGCACACTCAGAAAGTAGTTTAAAAGGTGGTTCGGGAGCTGGGAGGCTCTGCCGGTGAGGTGGTCCTGGGAACACAATCACCCGTTTTTCCAACCGTGCCATCCCTCCCACAATTCCCACCCTGCCAAACTGACGGCATTTATATAGCTATAGCCTTTGCTTTCAGACCTGATAAGTCTTTTTTTCACCTTTTCCTTGGACTCGGGACAACTTGGTATGTATGGGGTTCATTCTCATTAAACAGATTCTCGTCCAAAGGTATAAATGTGGTTCTAAAGGGCTAGAAACTCTCTCACTCCGCAGCTGTTACTGTGAAAGAACTTAAGGCCATGCCAGGACATAGCCAACACAAATGATTATTAGGCTTATGCTACAGTAGACCCAACTTTAGGTACCTTCTGCAAGTCCACACTCCCCAGTCCCCATATCGCTAACTATAGGAGTTTCTGTGCCTTTCTTGATTAAAAATATCCTGGATTTGGGTCATATCAGTGTACATATCCCTTGCCTTTTACAGCTCTGAAACTGTACCCTGGGCAGAGGCCAGAACCTCCTGGGGGTAGTAGGTTATTGGTTTGCTATTTGCACAGGCATTCTATGTATGGATTACTTTACTTTTTATATTTCTCCAGAAGCAGAAAATATATAAATAAAAAGTATCAGGGGAGCTTAAAAATCAAGCCACCTCACTCATCATTTGAGACCTTCCCATTCCTCCCCCACATCTTTTATCTATAGCCTTGTCCCTAAAGAATTTTCATGGAGCTGAGAACAGAGAGAAACAGCAGCCTCATCCCAGAAACCTGAAGACTTCCCTTTCTTAGGCCCACAGCAAGGAACAGGCACAGAGAGGAGTCCAAACAAGCTGAGTATGTTGTTTTAACCCAGAAGCAGCCCAGTGCCTGGAGAAATTAAGCCCAGAACAGATGATGGTGACTTGACCAGAGTGGTACTGATTGCTTCAGAACTGTGCAGGCTGCTCTTTGGGATTATCTTTGCTTTCTATTTTTATCATCCTCCCTCCCTTCTATTTTCTTTCCTTTCATTCATTCTCTTCTCAGTCTCCTTTACTTAAATGTCCTTCTGCTCCTTATGATGATGCTCGGGACACCTCTCTTCCATGAAAACTACTTCTTAAAAATTTCCTTCAATCCTCAGAGTAACAATTTAAATGATAAAAAAAAAACACCTTTCTGCTTTTAGAAAAGTTTAAGTTTCTATATTTAAAAAAAGGTTCTGGGGATCCCTGGGTGGCTCAGCGGTTTAGCGCCTGCCTTTGGCCCAGGGTGCGATCCTGGATTCCCGGGATCGAGTCCCACGTTGGGCTCCCAGCATGGAGCCTGCTTCTCCCTCCTCCTGTGTCTCTGCCCCGCCCCATGTCTATCATAAATAAATAAATAAATAAATAAATAAATAAATAAATAAATAAATAAATCTTTAAAAAAATAAAAAAAGTTTCTGATAACAGTTTTAAGAAGTTGAAGAAATTGATTGTGTATTTTAACTTAAATTGAGGAAAAAAATAAAGACCCTGAATAATTTGGGTTGTATTTGTTTTTCAAATTGTGATAGTTTTTACTTTTTCATCAATTTTATAGCTCTTCTATAAGGAACTCTCCTATATACTTTTGTCTCACCTGTGCATTTAAGATAACTCTTGGCCAAAGAGGGATTTCAATTAATATTCATTGGTTAAAAAACAATAGTCTAAATTTTGGGGGGGTGCTTGGCAGTCTGTACAGGACATCTACCAATTAAATTACCTTGCATACCCATGATTTGCCTCTAATTTTCAATTTACTCTGTTTGGCCCCATTTTTTTTTTCGGTTCTGATTGAAACAATGATTGCTACCCAACCAAAACTGGTTATTGGACCAGCAGCCTATAAAATGAATTGGCATAAAAGTTCTACCCAACAAAAGCATCTCATAATGTTTTCAATGGTGACTGGTCTAGTCAGTCATAATCTAGATTTTATAACTTGATTAGGAGACCCTAGAGACTTGGACAGGAAGGTAGTACCTGTGTGGAACAACTGGAAAAGTGAGAATGTAAAAGCCATGAGCCAAAGTCAACAGTTAATTTTTTCTGTGTCTCATTTGTTTCTGATCTCAACTAAGTCATCATAAGAAAGGAACACCAGAGTAGGGCACATTTGCTACATGAGGTGGAAAGGACACACTGAATCCTCTGTGTTTGCTAGAGGATTTCTGCAATGGATCTGTATATTCACTTTTCCACATATCTTTAGAATAACTCCTTATCAGATTAACAAAAATATTTTGCTATTATTTCAACCTAGAAAAAAACAAATCTAAGTAACCCAGTACTTAGAAAAGCACAGATTTGCATCTGGATTTATCTGCTCAGTATTCTTTCTAGGAACTCTCCGCCCCTCAGTTCTACATTTTTAACTTGGATCTAGCTCCATGGTACAACACCCCCAACTCCTTTGTTTCAAGTTGGACCACTGATAGTACTAAGCTAGACCAATCATAATGCCCTAGTCATTGTTAACTGGTTGACAGATGGTCACTCTCACCAGGTCTATTCCCTGGGATTTTTGCGCATATGAAAGAAAGAGTTCATATTAGTCATTCGCTGATAGCTTTGGAGATTAAAAACAAAAAAAGTCCAGAACTGACCTATGTTTCCTTCTATATAGGGATGACCAGGCTCCAGTAAGAAAGAATGAAGCTGCCATTTGGAAGGAGCACAAGCTCTTTCTGAAGGTCTGAAGAATATTCCAGCTTTTCCTATGGCTTTGTTATTTGAATCCTCCTTTTTCTTAAATTAGTTCAATTTCATATGTGTTACCTGAAACCAGAACACAATAAAAAAGTAAAAGGAATCCAACTTCAGTGAGATCATATAGGCCATCATGCCTCTTGAGGAAGACATCTTGCCATGGCCTAAATTCTTTAATTTCCCTTCACAGTTTCTCATGATTTCCCTTGACTGAAGCCATAACCCCCAAATAGAGATTTCTTTGTTTTTTTTTTTCTACTTCCTCCTATCACATTTCCTAGTTCATGTTTTCCATTAATAATAGAATTCAAGGAGAGGGGATCCCTGGGTGGCTCAGCGGTTTGGCGCCTGCCTTTGGCCCAGGGCGCGATCCTGGAGTCCCGGGATCAAGTCCCGCGTCGGGCTCCCAGCATGGAGCCTGCTTCTCCCTCCTCCTGTGTCTCTGCCTCTCTCTCTCTATGTCTATCATAAAATAAATAAATATATCTTTAAAAAAAAAAGAATTCAAGGAGAGTATTGATGTTATGAACGACAGATTGCTACTGGTGGAATATTGCTTCGGGGGCGGGGGTGAAACACATTGATCTCAGAGTTCAATGTTGAATTAGATATATAACTTTGTCCCAGAATCTTATAAATCACTCTTCATCTTGTTTATAAGACTTCTCTAAAAGTATGATTAGGGCTTGCTGCTTTAGACATTTTGCTAGTGGCCATAAATAAAAATTTGGGACAAATATCAACCAAGAAAAGAAATAAGACCTGGTTGTAAATCAATTTTCTTCTCTTGATCCTTCAAAAATATTATAGGATTCTACTTCTCCACCCCCCTGCCCACCATCAATTTCCTCATCATCTTTTAAGTTATCTTGTGGTCATAAGCAAGTTATTTCATATACCTGAGCCCTTTGCTTCATCTTTAAAGGACGGGATTGTTGTGTCCCAAATCTAAGACTTCAGGAATCTGTGATGTACTGATCACCTACTAAGTACAAGTCATAATTTTCACAGACTTCAATTGTTTCTCATATTCTTTCCTACTCTTCCCCACTCACCCATACACACCTCTTCATCTGGAATACCAACACAGCCACAGCAGCAAAATGCCTTAGGAAAATATTCAAATAAGCTCACCACTATGT